TAAACCTACTACACGTGGCGCGGTAACCAGGTGCCCAACGCAAGGCCGCAACGTACCTATCATCAACAGCCTATAAGTGCCCACTGCTGAGCAAAGCCTCTTCTCACACGGAGAAGGTTTGAACACTAATCACCACGTTAGCTCAATGAGGGTTGGCGATTTCAAACTAATAATTAGAAATTATAAGCCCGGGTTTCCTCACGATGTTTTCCTTCACCGTTTGTCAGTGTCGGTGTCTAAATAATCTTAGAAAGAACATATAAGTCGGAAAAAGTCACATTGGTACTTGTCGTTGGTAGGTTTCGAACCCGCACCCTCATGCATGAGAAGCGGGCGTCTTAACCTCCGAACGTATAGCAGGTTCGTTTCCCGCATGGAGCGAATCTTAGTGTGATCCAAAAATTGTTGTTTCGGGTCTGAGTCTCATGTGTATGTGAACTTGTATGTTTGTAAATGCACCCACGATACAGGACAAATCCTAGCGTGCTGCAACATAAAAAAAAGAAACATTCTACAAAGGCTTCGTATTATTATGTGTTCAAGGTGTGTGTGTGTGTGCCATTGACAATTGGGCCTATTTTCGGTGTTTGTTGTGGAGTTTACAATGGTAGATGGTGTACGATACGAGTTGACTCCTTTATTACCTAGAATGGGAGGTATATGATAAATTGACAAGAAAGTTGAATACAAAAATTATTATGTCTCTGCCGGGCAAGGGGTCTCGAGTTCAATTCCCAAAGTAATGTGCTGGGGTTTTAAAAAAAAATCTCAATAGGCTCCAATTACATGGGACTCATAACATAAATAGTGAAAAGTGGGTGTTACATTGTACAGTGGTTAATTGCCGTAATGTGCACCTCTACCTACTATAAAATACGTGTTGTCATGTTATTCTCTTGTAGTGGGAAAGTCACAAAATCTCTACAAACTAATTCGAAATGAGTTCATAACAATCATTTAATTAAATACAAAAAGGTCTACGCTATGAATACGGCACCACTGGCGCCGGGCACATGACTCATTCGGTTCGCGAATGCAGAGTCCGTAACGTTCCTAATTCAAAAATATCGGTCGCGTATGTATCCCTAGTCACGTGGTCCGTTCGGGACTTAACGGTTATTTGTGACGTTTAACGTTTTATAACTAGTTATTTGCGGTTAGTATAGGTCAGTTTAATAACTTAATGATAACAGGTATAATATGTATCAGAGACATTGTAGAACATACTTTTTTAAAAGAGTAACGAATGGAGTTTCTTGCTCGTTCTTCTCCATTCGAATCTACGTTTTGGAACCTAGTACCTAGCTTCACCTAATTTCACTGACGGACTGACTGACAGACTATTATTTATTTTGTATTTGTTGACGTTTCAAAAGTACCAAACTATGGTTTAATTGAAATAAATGCTTTCACTTTGACTTTGGCTTTGGTATTCCCCCAAAGGGACTGTTATATTTTTCTAGTATAGGGCAAAACCAGCAAACTGGCAGATGGATCACCTGATGGTAAGCAATTGGCGTCGCCCATTAACACCCGCAACAATAGAGGAGTTACTAGTGACTGCCTCGTTGGCTGAGTGGTTTCAAATGCGACCGTCGGGCAAGGGGTCTGGGGTACGAGTATTACTGGGACTGAGTTTTTAAAATAATTCTCAGTAGTAACACGGAGTCTGGGATTTTCCCCGGTATATGGCAATAGGGTCACCCTCTATTACATGGGACTCATAACATAAATAGTGAAAAGTGGGTTTTACATTGTACTTACAGTGACATTAAGTGCTGTAATGCGCACTTCTTCCTATCCCTTCGGGGATAAAACGTGTGGTGTTTGGGGATGGTTGGGCATGGCTTCCGTTAACCTCACTCACACGACGAAACACCTCAAGCATATTTTCACGCCGGCACCGGTTTTCTTTGAGGCCGTGGTCTGGTCTCTGGTCGAGCCGACCAACGTTCGTCAAACCATGGCTTTCCCACACTTATTTTCTGAACACGGTATAAGAAGTATAAACTCGAAAATGCAACAGAGCCTAGCTTGACCCAAGAACCAAACTTTAAACTTCGTACCGAACATCAAGAGCACACCCAAAACCTTGTATGGACCACTGAACAAAAACGAGAGTCATGCTAAACCTGAGAATCGAACATGAGTCCTCGTGCACATAAACGCGTCATTACAATAAAAAGCATAGGTCCTGCTTACACTGAATCACGGTGCGGTAATGATGACATCACTCGTAGGAGGTTTGGCTCTCCGCCAAGGATAATAGCATGAATATACAGAACGAAGTGAGGTTATTAAAACGTATATAAACAAAGATTTGCTTTTGCACAAAATAAACAAATTCTTCATCATCATCAACTGATCATTCACTATAGTTCATTACTGGTTTAGGAGCCTTCTCTACATAATAGGGTTTGCCATGTCGCGGAGAACCTAACTGGTAACCGGGGCTCCGGCTCGACGTGCAGGAGAAGGAACGGGGTGGTTTTTAGTCAATAAGAGTCTGACACTCCCTCCCGCCTCACCCAGGCGGGAGCAGTCACTCGATGATTTTCCCCAATAAAAAAAAAAATAGGGTTATCCATTATTCGTACTATGTAGCTGTAAATATGCATGTCTTGGTGGCCCAGGGGTTTAAGACGCCCGCTTTTCATGCATGAGGGTTCGAAACCTACCAACGGCAAGTACCAATGTGACTTTTCCGAGTTATATGTACTTTCTAAGATTATTTAGACGCCACTGACAAACAAACGGTGAAGGAAAACATCGTGAGGAAACCTGGGCACCTCTGCCTACCCTATCGGGGATAAAAGGTGTGATGTTATGTTATGTATGTATGTTGCTATAGTACAAATGTATTCCTATCTACCGTGTTTTCATTAGAATTCTGTAGATTACTTCAAAATCTTTGTTTTAATATACATATCAAATACACGTTCAATTTAATAGTCGATTTGACTCATATAGAATCCATTAAGTCCTATTAGTGTCTTATGATAGTCCGTGCCAATGACCTCCAATTATTGACGCCTATACAAATGAAGGTGACAAAAATGACGATACAGACGTATCGTCAGCATTCATTGTTTATTATCATACTTTTTATTTTTTGTCTTTGGCAAAGTTCTCCAAAGAGGTGGGTTCATATTTATGCTTTTGTACTGGCTTTGTTTGTTATCCCCACTGTTTTCGCGGTTGTCGTAAGAGTCGAATATTTAACAGACCATGTAGAAGTTTTGACTGATAAACCTGATTCTTTTAAATCTCCAATCTGCTTGAGAAGCGTCTTGGTAAGATTATGGAGAACCCATTTTTAGGAAGGTAGGAAGTAGACGTAAGTCTACCAATAGTGAAAGATATTTCTAAAATTATGCAACACTTTTAGAGTCGATGCAATGTAAATAAACAAACGATCAAAATGTTAATATAGACATGTACGAATAGTGCTTACAAGCGAATATAAATAGCCCTTACAAAAGTTTTGTCAACAGCAGAAATAGAAAATGGCAGTTGGAAAAGTGACAAGTGGACAGTGGGCAATGGTCATGCAGATTTAAATGATTTTATGGCAATGACACCGCTGTTTGTGTCAGGGATTCCCAATCTTTTCTTGATCAAGGATCACTTTTATATCATTCTTGTCAGGTTACCACCATAGATGGGGCTCAGTTAGGCTGATGCTTGATATGAGAAGCGTAAGGCGTCACGGGTTGCCAGGGCTCCGGCTCGAAGAGCAGGAGTAGGAGCGGGGTGGTTTTTAGTCAGTAATTTTCTGACACTTCCTCTTCCTTCATCCTTTAAAAATATGGGACCACTATTACTATTTTTTTTATGTGGGACGCTAACAGATTTTCCTGAGCCGTGGGGTCGGTCAAAAATAGTGACATTTGGAATACTACAATATTATAATCTATTTTTTCCACAACTACCTCCATTATAAGGATCCATCTTCCTCCATATATCAAAGGCTCATTAACTCGTCGAGTACCGTCATTATAGACACAATTAAAGAACAATAGGTTGCGGACACCTCGCAGTGTTTGACAATTTAAGAGCTCATTAAAACCGTTTAACATAGAAATATTTTTACGTATTACTGCTGTGTTGTCATTGTCATTTCGCGGACTATAATTTGTCTTCTTCACGGACCACCAGTTGGGAACCACTGGTTTATGTAGTCGGGGAGTGTGTGTCATGATGTCATACAAGCGTATGGCTTCATTATCGTGGAGGATGCCAAAGAAGTGTGGAGAGATTGGAGATAGGATTTCTTTTTGTTTTCTGCCTACCTTTGTCTGGTACATAAATTCAGAATGTGGATTCTTACGTACTTCTCTAGCTTCCATCATATTTAAGCTTGAATGCACGCCTAATTTTTTCAAAACACTAAAATTGTTCCAGGGTCCCAAGATGTCGTGGTCGTAGTTGACCAATATAATGGATCCTAATCTTTCTAGATTCTCGGTCAATCTCGAATCTGAAGACTTATTAGTTTCGGCTGTATAGTATGCATATAAATAGTTCGCTTTCACTACTTCTTGTTATATTTTATAGGCCAAAGTTTGACCACTATCTCGCCTATTAGTAAGCGATGATGCGGTCCACGATAGAGCACGTCGACCCATAAGCTTGAAGACATCCAAGTTATAACCTTAAAAAAATACAGACTCTGGCAAAGAATTCCACTCCTTAGCAGTACGCACAAGGAAGCTTTACTTCAGCATCATTGCCTTTATTATAATCATGATCACAACAACTACAAGATGTCCACTCCCTAATATAGGTCTCCCGGCTCCCATTGTTTCCATTCCCATTTCTCCCCCGGCGCCCAGCCTTTTTGGGGATAAAAGACTGGGGAGTGTGGGATTTTTACCTCACTAAAACCACCCCGGTGGCCTCCCTCAACACCTGAATGGAGGTACCGGGTCCTCTAAAAGAGACCTGCTCCCGGCCCCCCTAATGACTTCCATATCGGTCCATTGGAAGCGACTTGCATCACCAAAACCTTCACTTTTACTATTCATCAACAGATAAATTCACATTACACTTCTGCCTGTACCCCTTGTAATAATGTCCATAATAAACAGTCATACGTACAATGACAACATAATTAAAAATAACTCACATAAACATTATAATTTGTCGCCGACAATTATTTTAAGTAATTTCAGTGTTACTTCGACTCTTGCGCCGATCGCTCGTGTGAGCAAGAGTTTTTAAGTTTGCGATATTCGGTCTTATTTGTGTACGTATAAGGTGTTGTTTTCAGTGCGTTTTATGTGAGATAAATGAGAATAAAAGTTAATTGTAGGTCGTTCTGGATTTTGAGTCTTGTGTGTTTAGGAATGTGGTTTAGTTTTGAATGTTGATTGTTTTCTGTGACTTTTTTTAGTGTTTCTGAAACTAGTTTTTTTAGATTGATTGCTTGGTATAGTTTGATAGTACTTAAGTACGAAGTAGTGGACTATGTATCTCCATTTTGGTAACACTAGTGTAACTTAAAACTAAATTTGACTAAATTTTAACCAAAAAAGCATACATACGGTCGAATTGAGAACCTTCTCCTTTTTTTGAAGTCGGTTAAAAACTTAGCAAGGGATCTCAGTTGTTTTGCTTGTGAATTAAACATAACAAGCTAAATATAGGTAAAGAATTTAAGGCACCTAGTCTTATTACCTAAATTGTTCAATTTCAATTGAAACCTAAAAACCTCATCCGTCCCGGAAGAGGTGTATATTTGGGTAGACCAATGATAAAAAAATGATTAGTATTTGATTTCATGTTATTTAATATCGGCCGGTTATATCCCGAATAGGGAATACTGCCTCGTTGGCCGAGTGGTCGTAAGTGCGACTGCCGGGCAAGGGGTCTCGGGTTCGATTCCCGGGTCGAGCAAAGTACTAGTGGGTTTTTTAAATATTCTCAGTAGTAGCACGGAGTCTGGAACTGTACCCGGTATATGGCAATTCGCTCACCCCCTATTTCATGGGACTCATACTCTACTAGTTTCGAACCACTGAGGGGTTCTTCCTTTTGAGCAACATAAATAGTGAAAAGTGGGTGTTACATTGTACAGTGGCATTAAGTGCCGTCTCCCTATCCCTTCAATGTAAATATCCCTTAACTAGCTGGCCCCGCAAACTTAGTACCGCCTATAAATGTTTTTTCTCACCTTATAAACCTTCCCTGGACTCCCACGAACATTTCAATACCAAAATTACCCAAATCGGTTCAGCCGTTCTGGAGTTTTAGCGAGACTAACGAACGGAAATTGATTTTTATTTATATAGAAGATAGATAGATGGTATGTTATGCGATCCAAAAGTAAGAAGCTTATGTCTCTGAGACGTCGTGGGTCTTCAGTGTTTCTGTGTTTTTATCTATAGTTCATGGCAGTCCAATGCTAAATTATGGACCTCCTCTGCATAAGATGGTGGACTATTATGAGCCACATCTGCATAATAGGGTTTGCCAAGATAGTTGTTCATGTCTTTGAGTCCACTACTGGGCTATGAGTGTATTATAGATAAGATGGTAACCTATAGAGTTTCTTGCTCGTTCTTCTCCATAGGAATCTACACCTTGGAATGAGCAAATAGCTTCACTTTTAATTTTTTTTTGACGTTCAAAAGTGCCATTCTAGCCTAATTGAAATAAATGATTTTGACTTTGACTTTGACTTTGATGGCTGACTATGGGCATCGTCTACATACAACAGAGTGTTTGCCACGATCTCCTCGCTTGCTGTTGGTTGGGCGCAGTTTAAAAGGTTCAGGTTTATCAGAGAGCGCTGCTGCCCGGTCTCTGTCAAATGTGATGTCTCTAAGTCGGGTATCCGACACCCGCGGGACGAGTAGGAGTTGTGATAAGTGGTTTCTGCTCTGCTGTCACCACTGTTAATTAGACATATCATAACATCTTTTTTTTAAAACATTGCCCCACACTAGGATTTTCTCCTGTGTCGTGAGTGCGTTTACAAACATACAAGTTCACATACACAATGACACCCAGACCCGGAACAACAATCACACAAAGAGATGCTCCGTGCGGGAACCGAATCCGCGACACGTTGCGTGGCAGCCGGTTGCCCAGCCATCGCACTAACCGTGTTGTCATGTAACACCCACTTTTCACTATTTATGTTATGAGTCCCATGTAATAGGAGGTGAGCCCATTGCCATATACCGGGCACAATTCCAGACTCCGTGCTACAACTGAAGATTTTTTAAAAACCCAGTAATACTTTGTTAATTAGACTTCTTCATAAAGTCCCAAGATCATGTTCTTTTCATCCAAATGTCATTGGTACAGACACTGGTACATCAAGCTATCCTATTCCTTCAAATACCTTTATAGGTTCTAAACCTTATTACTCTGTAATAAAGTTAAGAATGTCTGTATAAGGAAAAATGATATCATACCTCTGTTCATGCTTCAAGGTGATGCAAATATTAGGTATTATGAGTGTATTTGTATTAGGTATGCATATTTTACTGTGGTCATCACCTATAATAGACGTGACTGCCTTATTGGTTGAGAAGGTGCAACTGCAACTGCCCACTGCAAGGTTCTGGGGCTTCGGACCACCTAACGTGTTACCGCGGCTTCGGCTTGAAGCAGGAGTAGGAACAGTTAGGCGAGAGGGAGTGTCAGACTCTTACTGACTGAAAACCACCCCGTTCCTACTCCTGCTCTTCGAGCCGGAGCCCCCGTTAGGCCTTCCGCGGCTCCGTATCAGGCATCAGCTCTACTGGGCCCCATCTATGGTGGTCTGATGGCTCTTTGAGGCGACCTGCTCGCCTACCTGGGGTAGAGGTATGCCATACGAAGCATACCATCTTTTGTAAAATAGTTCCGTGACAGTCCACTCATCATCAACAACCTGTTCTCGTCCACTGTTGGACATCATCATCAACAGCCTATAATTTCCCACTGTTGAGCAAAGCCTCTTCGCAAACAGTACATAGGCCTCTCCAATGGCACGCCACTGGTTCGCCAAATATGACCAGTCCATTGCCATTTCAGCTTGCTAATCCTTTGGGCTATATCGCTCACTTTAGTTCTCTTTCGGATCACTTTCTTACGGATCCTATCCTTCATCTGACAGTCCACTGCTGTATTATAAGTCTCCTCTACATAAGAGCGCTTGCCCATAATCTTAGCTCTGGGCAGGAGGATTGAAGATAGCCATTTAAACTGTCAAACACCAAGCGGTCACCGGTGACCGCAACCCATTGTACTATAATTGTGTCTATAATGACGGTACTTGACGAGTTAAAAGGTTCAGGTTTATCGCTGCTGCACGGTCTCTGTCAAATGTGTTGTCCCTCGGGTACACGACACCCGCGGGAAGAGTAGGGGTGCCTATTATTCTGCAGTCAAAAACAAACATAGACCCACATTTTTCTTTTATTCTCAGTTATTGAAATGACTCTAAGGGTCGATTTTTCAATCAATAGTTAATTCTTGACTGTACAATAAAATTGACATTTGACAGTTTTTAGTATGGAAGGATTGTCAAATATTCAAAGTTATTCCTCAGTTAAAATTTAACGGAGTATTGTAAAATCGACTCTAAATGACTTGATAATTAATTCTACAGTCAAATTGGTTGAGTAAATGCGAAAGAGTGTTTCTATATTGTCTGATGATCAGCAAGTGATGTGATTATCACAGTGATATCAGTGAAGTCATGTACGCTATAAAAACAATGGGTGAATATGTGTTTTCGCCGTTTTCGGTAAGTTTATAACCACTTTTAAGTATAAGGACATTTGAGGCTTAAAACTACATTTATTTGAAATATGTGCTAACAAACTGCCTCGTTCGCCGAGTGGTCGCTAGTGCGACTCGGGCAAGGGGTCTCGGATTCGAT